TTTATAGCAACATAATGATAAAATTCAAAACAAGAAAAGGTAAATAACTCGGGAATACTTACCTGTAAGATAAAAATTTATTCAAAAAGTAAAAGAATTAAAAAAAAAAAAAAGTTGAGGATAGGATTACCACTATATGAAAAGTAGGGGTAAGCGAGATTAGAGAAGAACCCCATAAAAAGCTTCAAAAACCTTGGGTAATATACTGGTTCTTAATTGGTGGGTATGGATATTCATATTGCTATTATACTCCACAATTTCTATATTATATATCTCTATCTATGTATGTGAGTTGTATACCACATATTCTTAAATTTCTAAAAATTATTTTTAAATTTTAAAATGAAAAAAAAATAAATACAATAAATTGCTTTTTAACAAACTTCAAGAAATTCAATAGAAAAAGGACAGTCTTTGTAAGAAATGGTGCTGGAATAAGGTATACATATGGAAAAAAATTAACCTCAACTCCTACTTTATATCTGCAAAAAATTGAGATGGGTTATAGACCTAAATGTAAAAGCTAAAACTATAAGCCTTCTACAAGAAAACATAAGAGAATATCTTTGCAACCTGAGGCTAGGCAAAGAATTCTTAGGCATGACAAAAAGAACACTAATCATAAAAGATGAACTTGATAAAGTAGACTTCATCCAAATTACAAATATCTATACATCAATAAGCACCCTTGAGAAAATAAAAATCCAAGTCAAAGATAAAGAAAGTATTACACATGACATTTTATCAAATATATTTATATGTATGTGCATATATATATAATAGACATATCAAAATATTATACATGACATTTTATCAAATATATTTATATGTATGTACATATATATAATAGACTTATATCAAGAATATATAAAAAATGCATACAACTTAATAAAAACAAGTCAATAAGAAAACAGGCAAAAGTCTGAAACATAATTTCACAAAGGAGAGCATACACATAGCAATAAGCACAAGAAAAAGTTTTTGATAGCATTAGCCAGGGAGATGCAAATTAAAACCACAACATACCATTTCGGCTAAAATTTGAATGACTGGCAATGCATGTGTTGAGGAAAATGTGAAACTGGAGCTGATATCCTGCTGCTGATGAGAGTATAAAATGACACAAGAACTTTGGAGAACTGTTCTAAAGTGAAAATACCCCAAGTTTATGGCTCTGAAATCCTGCTCCTACTAATAATAAAAATTAAAATGTTTGTCCACAAAAATACTTGTGTAAGAGTTCATAGTAGTTTTATTCATAATAGCCAAAAACTGAAAGTAATGTAAGTGTCATGCAAGTGAATAGATATACAAGCTGTGGCATATTCGTCCAGTGGAATTCTATTTGATGACAAAAAAGAAACAAACATGCAAATATATGGATGTATCTCAGAAACATTATATTGTTGAAAGAAGTGGACACAGAAGAGTTCATATCCTACTATTTCATTTAAATGTAGTTTCAGTCCTGGCTGGTTTGACTCAGCAGTTAGAGTGTAGGCCAGTGCACCAGAGTCATGGGTTTGATTCCAGTCAAGGGCACGTACCTCAGTTGCAGTTCAGTCCCAGGCCCTGGTCAGGGTCGTGCGGGAGGCAACCAGTCGATGTGTCTCTCTCACACTGATGTTTCTCTGATATCTCTCTCTCTTTCTCTCTCTCTCTCTCTCTCTCTCTATCTCTATCTGAAGATAAATGAAAAAAAAAAATATCCTCAGGTGAGGATTAAGAAAAATGTAGTTTCAAAACTTCAGTTCTAAACTATAGTGATAAATATAAGAACATACTGCCTTGAGCAAGGAGGATGTGATTGGACAGGGTAGTACAAATATTTTACATTTTGATTGCAGTGGTGCTTGTCACATGGATGTTCACATGTATAAAAATGCATTGAACTAGTTACTTAAAAGTAGGTCATTTTAATATTTATAAATTTTATCTGATAAAAAATGAAAATATAAAACAAAGAAAATTAAGAGAATATGAGAAAGGAATAGTTAAAAAAAATGAGCACTTGATGTGATTACCAAATTAGATAAAAGTACTGAAACAATTGCTTAGAACATAGCAAAAAAGGCAAATAGACAATAGCATACAAGAAGACAAAAAGACATAGTGAATCAAGCCAAGAATTACCTTAATGAGTTTCCAAAAAAAGAGCAAAACTAAAGAGAATAAATTATTTTAAAAAATAGAATAGGTGAAAATTCCCCACAGATGAACAAAAATGTACCTTCAAATTTAAGTCTTATAGTTTTAAGGAGGATAAATGAAAAAAAAATATTCACGCTGAGACATGTATTCTAACATCTTTGAATGAGTTCATTGCAAGAATAAACTCACACCAAGACATATCATAATAAATTTTCAAAGTAGCAAGCATAACTAAAAACCTTGGTCATTTCCGAGAGCAAACAAATACCTCTGGCACCCACATACTAAGATCAGACTGGCATTCTTATCTTCTCATGAGCAACACTGGAGGTTAGAAGATGGTGAAGTCTTGGATGATTTGGTTTCTATACCCAGCAAAACTATTAACTATAACAGTAACATGATAATGTACAGCTATGTGAACACTAACAAATAAAGTTGCCATCCACATATCTTTTATAAATAAGTTCCTTTCAGATGTAGCCTACCAAAACAGAGAAGAAAACCAATAGAAAATATTGGGTCAAAAAACATTGCAACTTACCCAAGAGATCAATGAATGTAACCCAGGATAACAGCTATAAAAAAAGAAGAGTGGAATCTTTTCAAATTAATCAGAAAGTATTTGGGATCCAAGGGGAACATCTTCAAGTAGAGAAATGAAAGGGAAGCTTCTCATACAAAAAATGAGAAGACATGGTGAAGAAAGCACAAGACGGGAGGGCTAGGTGAAGAAAGCACACGCGCCTGTTCCTCCAAAAAAATCACAAAGTACTTTGTGAAGGTGAGGAGGGGATATAAATCATGTAAGAATTACATGGTCCAAAAAATAAAGCACAGTTAACTATGACATAATTTTTGTCACTATAGAGGAAAAAAAAAGTCAATTTGGTGTTAATATTACAAATCTTCTGACAACCTGCAAGTACAAGTCCAGCTAAGGGAAAGTAGGAGTGTATTTGCTTTCTAAAGTGATAAAGGAAAAGCTAGAGTCACTACTTTCCTCATTTTACCAAATAAGGAGTCAACATATATTTTTGAAAATTGATGTGAAATATTTGAGTTCACATTTATTTAGAATTACAAAACCAACCAATATGAAAACTAAATATTGTGATAACTATTCATAAATTTGGAGAAGAGAAGTTGTGGATGATATGGACTATCTTAAGAAGTCAATTTGAAAAAAAAGAATGAGTCGTTTAACTAATTATTCAACATACAGACCTAAAATTTGGTAAGATTAAAAGTGGTTATCTATAAAGAACAGGACTGGAGGTAGGAAGGAAGACACTAAACTTGCATTTTATTATGCAATCCTTTTATAATATTTGATTACAATTAGATGCCTCTCTCACTTAGACACCTAAAAATCAAATAACCAAATGAAGAAAATGCAAATGATTCAGAAAGAGACGTTAGTTAGCATAAAACATTTTATGGGTGTCTTGTTTAAATACCTCTGAAACGGGTACACAAAAAGGCTCATGCATATAAAATACACACAAATAGATTTGCTCACTTGATCAGTGGAGGAAAGTTAATGGGGGGAAAAAAACCTCTGAAGGAAGAGATTAGTTGAAAAACTACAATGTAAGCAATTTGGTTTGAAAATTCATTCATTCAACAATATCTTGAAGATCCTATTTTAAGTCAGGTGTTTTCCAGTTGGGAGGCTAATGATAGTGAACAAGATACAATCTGTGCCCTCGAACTTTGCATTGAAATGACAAAATGGGGAATAAAGGTTTAAAAAATGAGCAAAAAGTTATTTTATCATGACTAAAATAGTTCACATATTTTTACAAGGGGGGAATAAAACTAGTTCATATATTTTATACACTTCCCCTAAAAAAGCTGTTTTCCTGTCCCAAACACAAACAGGAACAGTGGGGCCTTGACAAAGCAACCAGTGACAATTCCAAAGTAACTTCCACTTGTTCACTTCCTTCCTCTCCATAAGGAAATCACATGTCAATAATTTACTAAACCTTTGCAAACCAAAGCAACTGTTCCCATCGGTGATGAGTAACAGCTATTTCCACATTCTCTAGCCTCCTCTTCAAATCTTCCTTTGAAGCAGTGAGGTCCCGGTTGCTTTCAGAGGACTGAGGTCAGCGTGTATAGGCAGAAGGCAGGCTGCAGCTAGGGATCGGGACAGTGCTGAGCAGGAAGCAGCTCGACAGGTAGGCTCGACCTCTCACTGCGCATGGGCGGGGCCACTCGCTGCACCTGCCTTTCCTCTACAGCCCCACCCGCTACGACAAATACAGTGGGAAACCCAAATACCTGCCTCTGAGTCTGGGGACGCAGGCGGACCCAAAGACAAGGGGATGGAGCTTCTACACAGGGCCCCAGGGCTGTCGCTACGACCGGTGTCGCCGCTACAGCTTAGAGCACCGGCCATGCATTTCAGGTGCTCCTACAAAAGAGGCCGCTCCTGGAGCGCCGGGGGCACAGAGACCGTTCTCGGCCTGCGAGCCAAGTCGGCCGAAGTCCCAGCTCAGAACGCGGCGAGACGCGCGAGCCGTCCCCCGTCACTGACAGCTCCCACCCCCACCCCCACCCCACTCGGCCCGGTCGTTTCCTCTGACCTCACAGCCTCCGCGCCACAACTTTCACGAAAGACCCCGACGTGCGGCGTCTTGCCCCTCGCCCAACATGGCAACAAAATGTCGCGACCAAGGAAGAGGTGCAGGGAGTTGGCGTTACTGCAGTGCAATACCGGGAACGTAGTGTGACAGCACACGGGACGGGGACAACAGCTTTTAGGGCGAATCTGTGGGACGCTCAGGCGTTTAGTGGGGACACCTCGTTGGGTCCTTTCTGACTTCCGTCGTGTGCGGGACGCTGTCCCTACTTGCTGCCGGCTCAGGCTGCCGAGGCGCCCGGGTCCGCCGGTTCATGTGAGTGACGTCTGCGGAGGGTCCTGGGGTAGGCCGACGGCGATCGTAGAGGTCCCCCTTCTCCTACTTGCCTTCTAGAGCTGAGTGCTGGCCTCCGGGCACCACTGGGAAGTCCGCCCACACATGCACCAACCTGGGCAGGAGGAAGTCGGGAAGAGCTTGGGACATTTTGAAGGAGCCAAGTTTGAGAAATGGGATGCGGGGGCGAGGGAAACGATGCTTCTGGATATTCACAAACGTGTTTATGTTAGTGCGCGCCCGTGTGTGTGTGTGTGTGTGTGTGTGTGTGTAAGGACTGTGAGCGGAGGTGGGGGCAGATAGGAATTCACTCACTTATTAGGCGCCCACTATGTTCCCGGCACCGTTTCAGGCATTGGGAAAAGAGCAATGACCAGAACAGAACAAAATTCATGCCTCCCTCTAGTTAACATTTTACTGAGGAGGACACCAACTAAACAAAGTTAAGAAAGACACACCATAGTTTAGGTTGTAATGATTGCTGGAGAGCAAAATAAAGCAGGGACGGAAGATGTAGATTGACATTCTGATGTGGCCAGGGAAGGCTGCACTGAAAGGTGAGAGCTGATAGAAGTGAGAGAATTAACCATACCGAAATCTTGGTGAAGTGCAGTCAGGCAGAGCGACCAACCATTGCAAAAGCTGTGAAGCAGAAACTCGCCTGAACAGCAAGAATCGTGTTGGTCAGAGTTAAGTCGTTGAAATTGGAGGCAAAAATCAGAGAAAGCAGGAACACGTCTTAGAGGATCTTGAGAGCATCTAAGTCTTTGGAGGGTTTGGAGCAGTGGAGTGCTAGAACCCGACTTCCTTTTTTAAAGGATCTTGCCAGCTGCTGTCACATAGATTGAAGGGGACAGGATGGAGGAAATTAGCCTTCGGAGGCTTTTGTAGTAATCCAGAGGAGACTATGCTGGCTTGACTAGGGCTGGTAAGAAATGACCCATCAGATTCTTAGTGTTTTTAATTTTGATATGTAACAGTATTAACGGCCCAGCTGGTGTGGGTCAGTGGTTGAGTGTCGACCCATGCACCAAGAGGTCACCGGTGTGATTCCTGATCAAGACACATGCCCTGGTTGTGGGCCAAATCCCCAGTGGGAGTCATGCAGGAGGCGGCCAATCAATGTTCTTTCTCATGGATGTTTCTTTCTCTCTCTCTTCCTCTCTAAGATCAATAAAGAAAAAAAAATTCTTTTAAGTATTAACAAATGGTGAGTTAATTTTCTTTAATTAGGTTTGGGTAAGACTTCAGAAATGAATTGTAGTGTGAGTTTTGCAGTGACAAATGGAAGTTAAAATCTTGGCTTTGCCATTTAATATTTGAATTAATTTAGACGAATCATATAATTTCTCTGAGTTTATAAAATGGAAATGTTATTGTACCACATTATACAGTTTAAATGATACTGTATGTACTATGTCTGATTCATTAAAGCAGTGGCTATTAACAAGTGGTGAGCCCTAGAAACTCAGACAGAAAGTAACCGGATAGGATGGTCTGAACATAAAAGGTCCAGACTAAAAGTGGGTCATGGCAGGTAGTCACATCCTGGATATGTAGCTTCCTAGAAAAAAATCGATCTTTATCTTAAGTGACCCTGTCTGTTGTTTTTTGCATGTAAGATAACATACCTTTGTCAGAGTAATCTTTCCTTCCAACCCCCCTCCCTCAGTACAGCCTTCACCAGAGCAGGAGACTGCAGAAACCCTCATTATCTTGTTCTCTGATACCATCTCGATGTGCTGTAAATGCCAATTATTGACTATCCCGTACCCACCAGTGTGAATGAAGTATGTCTCTCTGTTTTATTTTTTTTTCCAATCCCAAAAGTTTCCTGGCTTAGCTTTCTTTTGCCCTCTTAATCTACCACCAGTGGATTTCATGTAACTCCCTCCGCCCCCTTTTGCCTCCTCCTTTGATTCTGATGTATAAAATAAGCTGTAAAACTGCCATTCTCAGGAGCATTTTTTCTATTCATTGATATTTTGCTTCCCAGCAGTGTTGTCAGTTTGGCTCAAATAAACTCACAAAAATTCTCCTTGGGTTTGGATGTTTCTTATGTTGATGTAAGAAATGGGAGAAAGATAGTGGTGGTGCATCTCTGGGTGGAAAGGGATGGTTAAATCCTGTTGAAGAAAATCTGAACCAAGTAAAAGATGACCCTGTTGTGTGGTAAGAGGGCCAGGGGAAACCTAGACATAACCCTCTTAAAATATGCGTATTTCACTGGACAGAAAATTTCTGTTACTAGCTAGTCTTTGAAAAACATAGATTGTCCTCTTATAGCCACCCTTATAGACAGACATTCTTCAACCTCTTCAGGACCCCCATTGTTCTCATTGTAAAGGGGAAGATGGCTTTTTAGTGAGTAAAAGAAAACAATCTAGAATAAATACAAAATTTCCAGTTACAAAATGGGAATGTACAGCATTGTGACTATAGTTAATTCTGTATTGCATATTTGAAAGTAGGTAGAAGATGGATCTTGAAGGTTCTCATTAAAAAAAAATTTAGATAACTACGTATAGTGAAGGATGTTAACTGGACTGTTGTGGTGATCATTTTGCAGTATACTGTATACAAATATTAACTCATGCTGTACATCTGAAACTAGTTTTATATGTCAATTATACCTCAGTAAAAAAATTTAAAAAGTTTTAAGGTCACACAGCTAATGAGTTGCAGAGCTAGAATTTGAATTCATTCCCTGACCACAAGCTAAAAAATAAATAAATATTGCCCTGGCCGGTTTGGCTCAGCCATTAGAGCGTTGGCCTGCGGTCCGGAGAGACTCGGTTCCGCTAAGGGCGTGTACCTCGGTTGCAGTTTGTCCCCGGCCCTGGTTGGTCCCCTGGTTGGTCGTGCAGGTGGCAGCCACTCGATGTGTTCCTTTCACATCGATGTTTCTCTCTCTTTCTCCTCCTCTCTCTCCCTCCCACTCTATCTGTACAAAAAAATGGAAAAATGTCCTCAGGTGAGGATGAAAAAAATAAATAAATAAATAAATAAATAAATAAATAAATAAATAAGGACTTTTACAAAAAGCATAGATTTTATCATTCTATATTTTGGCAAAGGTTATTGAAAGACTCCTGGGATTACTAGTGGTTACTGCTATATATTTTGTGTGTCTCAGAGATGCATTGTTCTCAGAATATTTAATTTAATTATTTACCTTTTAAAATTCTGACTTTTGACTTGTAAATCCTAACAGGAGTTATAACCTAGTTGTAAAAAGTACCATATTGCGTAGCACTGGAATAAAGATGTTCTCAGAGTGGGGTAGCTTAGCAGTTAGATTGCAAAGCAAATAGAGGAAAGAAGTTTGGAAGGTAAGAACAGGGATGATGGTAAGACAAGAGAGAAAAAGTGATTAATTTTACTGTAGTTTATCAATTCTGATAGGTACATCTTTTTCATATTTACAGCTCTGAAAATAGTGGTATATGTTATAATTATTGATGCCTTCCAATCACTATAACCTAAGCAGCAGATGTGACTTAGTTACCACTGCCCACATTTATGTAAACTTGGTCATAACTGTTAATATTGTCATCAGTTTAGTTGATGTATATGTACTGTTGGTATGTACTTGCTGAGTTTAAATTTCCATTTTAAGTATCATTTAAAAGATGGTTTAGCATTAAAATGAAAAGTTATTGTGTATGCAGAAATACAGGATAACTGATAATAAGATAAATATAGGGCTAAATTTAAAGAGGTCTTTAGCCCTGGCCGGTGTTGCTCAGTGGTTACAGCATCGTGAGGTGTACTGAAGGGTCCGGCTTCGATTCCTGCTTAGGGCAAATACCCAAATTGCCAGTTAGTTCCCCAGTGACTGTGAAGCAACCATAGATGTTTCTCTCTGTCTCTCTCTCTCTCTCCCTTCCTCTCTCTCTCTCTCTCTCTAGAATCAGTGAAAAAACATATCCTTCAGTGAGCATTAAAGTAATAATAAATAGGTTTTTCAAAAATGATACAGGATGTAACTAAGTGATAAGAAAGCATTATTAGCATTTTTTTATTAATGGTATATAAAATAATAGGACATCATGTTATTAGAACCATTTTACACTTGATAGTATCTTAGATTTGAAGAAATGTGGTGCATTTTTATTGAATTGCAGTACTGAAACTGGAATCAGATGTTTTGGGAAGCAGAGAGACAATTTCAGATTTCTGTAGCGTCCTGTACTATAAAGTAAAATTTAAAATCTGCACTTAAAACTTCCATTTCAAAACAATAACTTATTTGTTTATATTTAATTCCTAACATGAGAGTCTGGGGCAGGGGATTTGTTATTTAAAAGAAATTACTGGCAATTTAGAATCGGAGTGTGGAAGATTACTGAGGCGATTGCTAAGGTAAAGAGAAGTTATTCAGAAGTGATAAGAATTTCAGGAATAATCTTTTATATGTGTGTTTCAATGATTAAGATATAGTCTAAATTCAGCCTCACTTTTTATGAAGTTTTTATTATTAGAAGCTTTGTAGGTTTGATGAAATGTGATGAATGTTAGAACAAAATGTGAAGGGTCAGCATAATTTAGATAATACTTTTAAAAGGTTTTTATCCTAAAAATGTGTTCATTTTTTCAAATTTAATAAAGGAAAAAGAAAAAAGTACTGACTTTCACTATTCAAATACAATTAACATACTCGTGTACTTTTTTCTGTTTTTTTTTTTAGCTTTACCTAAATGTTTTATATTTGTCATTTCTGCGCATGTATTTAAATATATCTATTTTAACTATAGTCTTTCTTTTTTTAATAATAGCACAGACTAAGCCAGAATTCCCAAACAGTTTTAAAGAATACTGGTTCCAGTAAATATTAATAGGTGTTCTCTGGTTAGGATTCCATGGTTAAATACATTGAGAAATGTTTCACAATTATATTCTTTAGAATCTAAAGTTTAGATAAATTATAGCTTGGGCATTAAAAGAGAGAACTCCAGAATTGGACAGACCTAAGTTTCAGT